CGGGCCTGGGGTACGGCTCAGTGGTAGAGCACTTGCCTGGCACATGTGAGGTCCTGGGCTCAATCCTCATTACCACACAGAAATAATAAAATAAGAAAGGTATTGTGTCCATCTATAAGTAAAAAAATTTAAAAACACAATACCTATGCCGTATGATCTTCATATGAACTAATGCTTTGCTAATTCAGATGAGGCTTGGCGCTCAGGAAGCAGGAGAAGCTTCTCTGCAGGTAATTGGAGGAAGCTCATCGAAAAGGTGAAACATTAGAGAACATGGAGACTGGCACAAATGGTGACCTGGGCAAACAGCCTTGGCCTAGGGGTCCAGCAGGGCAGGAGGGCCGCAAACCGCAACCTCAGAGCTGGCAGGAGTCAAGCCTATGGTCACTGCAGGAAGAAACTGTGTCCAGACTGAAGGCAGAGAGGGCCCAGGGATTCCTAGCCTGATTCCTGAAGCCCACACTCCACAGGAATGGGGTGTGGACAGCCTGGGTTGGCCAGAAGCTGAGCCCAGAGTGTCCCCTTATCCTGCCCCAGACCAGAGAAATTCTTCCACGGAGCAGAAAGACTACAAGAAGCAGGGGCAGCAACAGGAAGGAAGCTCCTCTTAGATTCCTGCACCCCAGGAAGAGCCACAGGCCGCAGGTCCTCCTGGGGGTGCAGTGGGTCAGTGATGCTTCTGTCTGGCTGCTTGTTAGAGTCCCCTGGGGAGCTACATAAAACCCACACTCCAGGGGCCACATGCAAAAGAGTGAGTTCAACTCTACCTGCATCAATAAAAAACAACAACCAAACAAGTTATTTAACTTCTTTAGCCTAAAAGAAGAAGAACTAACAATGGATTAACCACCTAAACATGAGATGAAACCATCAGAAAAAAACAAAGGACAAATCACGGCAACCTTGGATCAGCCATGGATTCTCAGATATGACGCCAAGATCATAAGCAACAAAAGAAAAACGTGGTAAGCTGGACTTCATCACAACTAAACACTGTGCGTCAAAGGACTTCACTTCTGGAGACAAGGTGAGAAGACACACAGCTGCAGAGAGCAGGACTGTTTCAAACCACATATTGTATAAAGAAGAGTCTCCAGAAATACAAAGAACTCTTGTACCTCCACAGCAAAAAGAGGGACTGCAGCAAGGACAGAGATGCCTCACTTCTGCCTGCAAATGTCCAGGGTGGCCAGACGCGGGATGGAGACCCGGCTCCCCATTCCCTCTTGCCTCTGTCACCTTGGCTTCCCGTCACCTTGGCTTCCAGCAGCAAGGTCTGATCCATAGCCGTCCCTGCCCCAGGAAACAGCAACGCTCTCATCTGGGACAAGGCCCCACCTGGAAGACCATGCGATGACGATGGACAGACCACACCTGGTCAAGGCCACCTGCCTTGGCAAAGCCTCCAGCTACGCACACCCTGGCCCTCCTTCCCCTTTCTGCAGAACCCCAGACTCACTGCAGCTCCTGGAAGACAGGGCTTAGGAAATGTCCCCCCCTTTTCCTGGTCTTCCCCTCACCTCTGCTGCTTGGCCTAGGGCCCAGGGGCCCGGCCCGACTTGTTGGATCCCCAGAGACAGGCCTTGCTCTCTGGTGACCAACAAGCCAACTTAAAATGGGCAGAGGATCTGAACAGAAATGCCTTCCAGGAAGATTACAAATAGCCCCAGGGAGGGATAGGGAAATGCAAATCAAAACCACACGGAGATGCCACTTCACAGCCACTAGAATAGCAATACCCCCCCCCCAAAAAAAGCCAGAAAATAACCATGTTGGTGAGGGTGTGGAGAGTGGGAACCCTGTGCAGGACTGTGGGAATGAGCCTCAGCACTATGGGGACAGCTTGGCAGCTCCTCAAAGTTAAACAGAATTCACCCCCAGGAATGCCACTCCTTTAGATACCCAAAGAAGCACAGGACTCTGGATCCCAGTTGCTCATCAGCGTGGGCTTATTAAGCCTGTGCTAAGGCCTTGCACTGTTCTAAGCTCTAGAGAAATTCAGCCATGACCCAAAGAGAAAGGAGCCTGCCCTCAGGAGTCCTACCCAGTTTGCTCCCTGCACTCACCTGACCAGCAGGTCAGTCTTTGGCCTCCCGGTGGCCACTGAGACACCCCCAGGTTACCTTTCTTGCCCTGTAGGTCATTAGCCTGTTTTGGTAGCATTTCCATTTTCAGAGTAAAGTCAGTTCCTGAAATTCTTTTTCAACCGGCTGTCTCTATTCTCAGCTTGTTCACTTGTGCATGAGTTAAATGAAAATGTAGATTTGCCATGTGCTGGTTTTACATAAAACAGTTGATCCTCATGACTTGTGAACTCCAGGTTTGCAAACTTGCCAGTGTGCGTGCAATCCCAGGATGGACCTCACGCCACCGTGTGGTCATCTGAGAACACACCCAGAGGGGATCTCAGTTGCCTGGCACAGGTGGTCTGCCTGAGGCAGGACGAGGAGCTGCTGACCCCTTTCCAGCTCACACTGTGAACACTAAGTGTCCTGCTCACCATCGTTTCGTGCCACATATTTGGCATCTTTGTGCCTTTGGAGGCGTTTTGCTGTTTGAAGTGGCCCCAAGCAAGGTGCTGAACAGGGTGCCCAGGAGCTGGGAGGCAATGATAAGCCCTGTGGAGAACCGGGGTCAGACCAGCTCAGCGGCTGAGCTATGGGGCCGCTGGCTGGGGGAGCTCAGGGTCAGTGAGTCGGTCACAAGAAGGAGGAGGAGGAGGAGATGTTCACCAATCTGTATGTGAGGTCTCTTGAAAAGGTACCCGAGCCACACCTCCAGTGTGTGACAGAGTTCAGGAACAACAGGGGGTCAGGTCAGGGCCTGGCTTGAGGACAGACAGCTGCCCAGCAGACAGCCTTACAGTGAGGATGTGACCCC